GTGACTGGAGATTACAGAGGTGGAATCTTCACTGCTGGTACTTTCAAACATGCTGTACGGCAAATCAGTTGTCGCAATGGTGCTTTTATCGTCATCTTGTGCCACAGGCTGTGTAATGTGATTAGGGCTCATGGAACCCTTACTGCTACCTTCAAACACACTATATTGTCCATCAGTTGTCACAACGGTTCTGATATCATCTTGGGTCACAGGTTTAAAAACTTGATTGGGATCTACAGAGATGGAATCTTTACTGCTACTTCCTAACACGCTGCGCTGCACATCAGTTGTCACAATGGTGCTTATACCATCTTGGGTCACAGGTTGTGTAACGTGACGGGGACCTAAAGAAATGGGATTTTCACTATTACTTTCAACGCTGTACTGCACATTACTTGTCAAAATGGTGCTTATGGCATCTTGTGTCACAGAATGCGTAACATGATCGGGGCCCATAGAGATAGTATCTTCACTGCTACTTTCTAACACGCTTTTCTTTGATTCTGTTGTCCCAATAGAGCTTTTGATCTCTGATGGCGTCACAGAATGCGTAATGTGGCGGGGGCTAACCGACATGTGCTCAGTCGTTACATTAATTGCACGGGGCTTCGGATCACCGCGAATGCAGGTACTTTCATCACCATGTAACCTTGAAGAAGCCGCTGGATATTTAAAGCATCTCTTTTCGCAGTGTATATTGTCACATCGATATTTTCTCGAAGCCGCTGCTAACTTCATACTTTTTCCAATTGCAAACAGTGCTATTAATGATATTACCATGGCGTATACAAGGTTCATCTTCTACCGAAATAGAAAATAAATAAATATATTAGAGCTTTAATAGACACCTAGAGAAGAAATCATAAAAGAACGTGCTCAATAATGAACACCTCTCTACTTTTTGTTTTTGTTTTTGTTTTTTGTTTTGGAGAAACAGTGTCTCGTTGATAGATGTGCCACTGAATATCGGAAATAAAATTTACCATGTACAACATAGCTTCTTCGTTATTTTAATTTGATCGACCTACGCATAAGTAACAATAGAATTAATTTAACTTGTAAAAATAATTTTTAATAAAAAACAATATAAAATCAACATAAATGTAAATAAACCAATAGAGCTTTTAAGGGTATGTGTTGCTTAGTGACTCAAATGTTATCAATATATGATCGGGTTTAACAAAACAAAAACTTCTGTTGGACGTAAGGATAAAAAAGAAATCAGATATGGATTGAGTCCTCGCATAATGCAAAAATACATACTGAGGGAAACAAAAAGTCAGTCCCACGATTAAAAAATGTAACAATTACTTTATACAAAGTGGAGTAACAGTATTATATATATAATAGTATGTATTATTATATTATATGTACAGTGGACATGAAGACTTGAGAAAAATAGGAATATACCTATATAGATTGTAATGATCAAAATAATAATAATAAACTGGTTTATTATAGATTATGGCTCCAAAATCTAAAAAATAAAACATTATTTTTCATTCATTATAAAAAAAACTTGCCTATTTAGAACATCAATGGAATTAAGTTCAACAAATTATAATAATATTAATTTAATATCAAATTATGTTTAAAGTGTATTAATCTAAATTACGGCCAAATGATTTATAGCAAAAATCAATATCATAATAATTAATATTTATGGAATTTGAAGTTATCTGACGAATTGTACAATATGTTTGCCCACTTACTTGTAAATGCTTATTCTCAATCAAAGGTGTTTTAAAAGTCACTGTTCTCAGATATCGTAGTCCTATACACTTAACTTCTCGATCCAAACTGTTCATACATCCTGCAAACATGGACTAAAGTCTGACTTCCCCTAGGCGAATTTATACGCGCTAATCGAAATTCTCTGTTCATGCGCATTCACATTTCTATCGGAGTAGTAGCTGTAACACTGTTCGAATTGTTTCTCTTTTTGCGAAGCGAAAAAATGCGCAACCAATCAGAGCTCAGGAAGTGAACAGACGCTTTCGACTCGCAAGAATAAATTCGCTTAGTTGAAAATAGGCTTCTTGCAGTCTTTTTGTGTTTGAATGTAATCATTATTAACACAGAACCTCAATAATTTACGAATTATTTGTGTTGGTAACGAACTGTTCGTCTATTCAAAATTTTGAAATAGATACCAGTCACTTGTATCACCCACTATTATGATGATCAACCACTATTATTATGATCAACCACTAATGTAATAATACTAATCCTAATGTAATAAAATTCAACAACTAATTTAATAAAAATCAACCACTATTGTAATGAAACCAAACCACTAGTATAATAACAATTGAACTACAAAAGGATACTGTAATAAAAACCCAGTAACCACTAATGTATTTCTAACCACTAATGTACACGTTTTAAAATAATAGATTTTTTCCTCACTCGTTGACCGATGGTCTTTCAAAATTGTATTATAATACAGTACATAAAAACACAATATATTAATCATTATTATGAATTAAAGAATATAAATGTTATATGCAAAATAATAATCTGTTATATAGAGTAAAAATAATAATCTGAATATAATTATATCATTGGATGTATATTGCATTCTTTCTTCAAAATATGCAAATCCTAATAAGTTGACTTTAGGGTAACTTTCACTCTTCTAATATTTAAACCATGAGTACAGTACAGTATGGCAATTAAACAATTATATCGCATGTAATCATTTCAACATCTATCATACTATTATTCGTATGTATTCTCATACAATATATATATATATATATATATATATGATATATATGTATATTAATAATATATATAGGCCCTATATATAATATCTGTCTCTTATACACATCTGATTTTGGAGCAACGATTCTTAGGGGGATTCCAGGTACTTTTAGGTTTGAATTTAGTAACATTGCCCGTGTTATCCGTGGTGTTGCCGTCGGAATATATATATATATATATATATGATATATATGTATATTAATAATATATATAGGCCCTATATATAATATATATATATAATATATACATATATTAATATATATATATATGTTAATTTTAAACCCCTATGTTTATACAGATAATACAAAAATTACGAATAAAATAAATAAATTAAAATGAATATATAATAATAGTTGAATATATTAATACTTCAAAACCCGGTTATTTCGTAACTGTACTTACAAACTTTACAAAAGCATGCAATGAACGCTTACACCTCGGTATTATATAAATCCCACTACATAGGCCTACATACAGTGAATGAATATTTAATACTAAAGAACTGAATAGAGTATATACTATCCGCCGAAAGTTGTCTCAGAGTGCTACTTCTTTATTATCTGGTGTTACCTTATTGAAGGTAATTGCTGTTGTTGTTTATGTTTGTATGATCATCTTTAATTCGAAAAAAGAGCAAATTTATAAGTATAGTTTATTCTGTACGGAAAACATGAAATTAATTAATAATAAAATAAAAAGAAATTGTAATTATTGATTCATTTACTTTCAGCATTTTATTTCTCATAATATTTAGATACTTTGTCTTACAGGGGCGAATGTCATAGGGGAAAATATCCGGGTGAGGGGAAAAACGGGAAAATTTTGTCGCAGATGGGGGGTGGGGTGGGAATATCCTAAGGGAAGCCAAACTAGATCCCTCCCACTTGAATAGATGTTATAAGGACGTTTAAGCTTAATCGATGTAGGCCTATTGTTTATAAAAGGTGGAGAGGATAATTCCTACCTCTGCATCTATAATTTCTTGGGGGACTTCTGTATTATTTCCTGAACAGTCTGCCCTTCCTCCGGCTTTCTTCACAGACAAGAAGACGGTTTGTCCCATTATGATGTTACCTAACAGAGTTCCTGCTACCTCGCTCGCCATTCCTAAAAGAAAATATGACTTTAAAGATGAACATTCAATCAGAAAGACAGGAAAATACCTCAAATAATTTTCTTGTAATATTTACCGATTTGCCGATATTTTACTACAAAATTGATTACCAGCCAATTTAAAGATAGTATGCAAAAGAATAATACAGGAAAGTTATTATAAGCAGCCCGACAATTGACGAGGTATTTTTTTAATTCAAATTTTTAATTTTAGGTTAATAACCTGTGTAATTAACATTTTTGAATTTTGTTAGACCTCATGACTGATAGTACATAAGTTTCATGTTCTTGTAAGATGAAGACCTAAGCAAAATGACATAATAATTATGTTCTATAGATAGGCCGACAAGAACCATGTATATAGAAATACCATCATAAATTCTGAACAAAAAAAATATGTTGTTTTAGGCGTTGTATTTTGCCACAACATTGTCACCAGCAGTTTTCGGTACACGTCTGTTGGTACCCCCAGCTGCATTTTACTATTGAAATGCCAAGACCTCATATACATTATGACGGTCAAATTCATGGTCTAATCAACATTTTCCCTTTTCATATTTTTAATTCTTTTTTGAAATGAGGCACGTTGATTACGTTACCGGTCATATAGTAAATTGTGTTGTTATCCATTTGCAGGCCTTCTTTTAGCATTAAAGTGTCTACACATTATTTTATCTTATAATGATGAATCGATAATGGGGGAAGACGATGACGACATTGCAGTTTAAATATTATAATGCCTCAGTACCTATGCAAAAATGAGTATGCCTTCCATCAGTGGCTTATCTGGGGAATAGTGGGTGGTACTAGTTCCTGGGTGCTCTATGAAATATGTAAAGGGCTTTAGCTGACAAAATTGCGTGAAGTGAAGCGATTTTAAACTACTCGAGCTTAATTGATTTGCTAAGCTAATCTCTAATGGGAGGGACCTGAAAGAGAGGTTTTTGGGGTGTGAGAAGGGCGAGTTCCCAGGCTCCAAAATCTAAACAACTTGCGCAATGCTTCAAAACACATCTTAACTGCACTACAAAAATGCTTAAAGTACTATAAAGCAAATTAATTTCTGATTTTTTATAATCATGCGTTCCGAAGAACGGTCACAAATTGCATCAAGCAACGATATTTCACGCCGCTCGTGCGGGGTATTGGGATAAGTTTTCAACTAGCAATAATCACGCCTCGGATAAACCTCATTGGCTATGATATCGCCTCTGCGCAAAGATAGCCTACAAATCATACGAATTAGGTATTAATTCTACACAAGTACTCACCATATATTGGTGTCATTTTTAAACATCTATCTTCAGTAAAAACTTTCATATTGCATATTGACTTTTAGAATATTGCTTTATTGCCTTCAGAATAGGCCTAACTAAGATTTTCATTATTATTTTCTTAAATTCAAATAAATGCAATTATAATTTATTTATTTCTATTCCGCAAATTAGGGTGCTAATGAATATTCATGACAAAAATAAAGCGCGCCATATCTATCGACAACAAATGCAATAATTGTAAAAGGGTGCTCTCATTGGCGCTGCAATTGCCATTGTCCATGTTCAGTGGTGCAAAGTATTTAGAGTAGATTACGATGAAAATAGAATACTGTACGTCATCATTCCCAATATTTACATTTTTAGCAATGATACCTAAGAATACCCCACCAGAGGTGCCCAGCTATATAGCCTGGGTACAGTAGAAAATTAGCTGAAAAAAGTCCAGGAAAAATTCATTTTTGGTTTTTCTGAATCTGTATACAATATTGTCTCAGAAAAAAAAATCACCATTCCTAGGACTTGGGCATTTTTTTTATAGTACTTCGAAATTATGGCATAAAAAACCATATTTTTAACTAGTTGGGATGCTTGTTGGGGAAATAAATTTATATTTTTAGTCACTTTTTCACTGTGCTATGGATATGAAATGTACCACGAACTTCGGCTAAATAGTTTTCTGGTAGGTTTATATTATTTTATTCTGCAAAGGTACTTTTTGCTGAATGTAGATTCATTCCAATTAAGTAAAGCATTCATTAATTATCGTACATTATACACACATATATTATTATATTTATTTTCATTCCACTAACTAGGGACCAATGAATATTCATAAATAAATAAGGCGAGCCAAGTATGAAATTTGTTTTTCGTGATGATGATGATGATGATGATGATGATGATGACGATGATGATGATGATAATGATGATGATGGTGGTGAAGATGGTGATGATGATAATGAATGGGTGTTAATGTGACTAAGGGATTAAGAAAATCAGTTAATTGACATTACACTGGTTCGCAGAACGTCAATAATAATAATAATAATAATTATTATTATTATTATTATTATTATTTTTATTATTATTATTATTAAATAATAATAATAATAATTATTATTATTAGGCTATTATTGTTATGATTATTATTAATATTATTAATATATTATTGTATTATTATTATTATTATTATTATTATTATTATTATTATTATTATTATTATTATTATTATTATTATTATTATTATTATTATTATTTTCTGTAGGGTTAATGTTTATTAATGACGCTTAGTCATTGGCTACACAAATTAATTTAATAGAATAAGTATACATAACATATAGCGGATAATGGCCAGGGTGCGCGGTTCCCGAAAGTGGGGCCGAACGGGATAACACTACCCTATGGGGTCCGAGGGCATGTCCCCGCGAAATTTTTGTTTTCTAGACGCCCGAAAATAACCTCTGGGGCGTTTTGGGCGATCATTTTTTTCTTTTTCTTTCCTTTTTTTTTTTTTCTATATTTTCTATGTTTCACTTTCCAAAATGGTGGGGTGGGGAGGGGAAGGTCGGGGTCCGCCCGCCCGCCCCCTAAAACCCGCCCCTGTTATGTTACCATGTAAATATTTAATTAGTTGAGTTATATTTCATGTAGGCCTATATGTTATTATGTATATTATGTAAAAAGTAAGTTGTACACTTACTGTAGGCCGTAGCTGAATCTCTTTCCGCCTGATCCTCTGTGATAAAGATGGTCAGCGCAGAGAACGGCATATGGAATGACTAAAAAGACAATGGTAGAGGTGATGCATAAGGCCTACTTCAGACTTCGTGAATATGCAATAGAACTCATATTAAGGGATATCCCTATTAAGAGAACACTTTTTCGGGCAATAAAAGAGGGAAAGTATATCAACTTGTTTTTTTTTTATGGGATACCCATTAAGAGGACACTTTTTTGATTTCGAACGTGTCCCATTAATATTCTATTCTCTCTATTTTGCTAGGCCAGTCATTTAATTCTAACTTTCAAAACTGTAGACTAGACTCACAATTCCTATCAAAGAAACACTTATATTGTTATCACCAGCATCAACGTCATCATCACCATACCATCATCACAACCAAATTTTGACTTCTCAGTGAATACTATGAAATTCAATCCTTTTATTGCACTCATTGTGCCTTAACCTAATATAAATTGGTGACGTCCCATACTCTCAATTTATTTTTTTTTAATTTCTTTTGGCGCCATAACCACTAGACTATACACCGAGCTTGTCCTTAGTGAGTAATGTTGAATCCGATCCCCAAATAGCAACGGGTACTGCAAATGCTATTTCGATGTGAGTTTGCGTCAGGAAAATATCTTTCGAAATAGCATTTACAGTACCCGCTGCTACTTGGGGGATCGGATTCAACATTCACTAAGCGCAAGCTCGGTAGTCTCGTGGCTATGGCGCCAGGCTAGTCATCTGGAGGTCGTGGTTTCAATCAATCCAACACTTTATTTTCGACCCAAAATGAAGTAAAATGTATAAAAATAAGATAAGTATATCATAATTTTAAAGAATATATTGCATGGAAGGAGGCTACCATACGTTCTGCAACAACTCACAAACTTGTACGAGAGTGTAAATGGTTAGTAACTCTTGAAATTTATGAATCATAACATAAAATACTATAGATAAAGATAAAAATATATATAATTATTTTTGTAATTTTTTTTTTAATAATATAGGGACAGTTGAAACTTACCGAAAGCAGAGTCTGAAAAACACAATAAAACAGAAGATACCAAGCCAGCTTGTAGCCTTCCTCCTCAAAACTCGGAACGTACCAAAGAAAGAAAAAGCTAACGACAGCAAATGGAGCCGAAGATGCCATCCTGCACGTGCAAAATTATATGCTTTGAAAGACGGCTTAAAATTGTAATAATCTTCTTGTGAAGAGCGTGAATCTAAACCCCTGTTCATACTATCAAATTTGATTTGAGAAAAACATGTGACATGCCTAAATATGGTCATCATAATAGGCACGTCATTACAACATGTAGGCATACATTTTTTTATTTCATTTCTTTAGGGCACGAGCGCCAAGGATATGCCAATAAGTGAACTTAGTCCTACGTGGCATATCCATTTAACAACAGGGGACTTAATGGACCAGTACACCGGGGTAACCCCCTACTCTTCTGGAATTATGTACTGGGTTCTTTAAAGTGCACATGAGTCAAATGCGTACACTGGACCTACGGTTTAAAGTTCTTATACGAGAAGACTTGTTCCACCAGCGGAACCATTGGCGAGTGAGCCGTTCGAACCAGCGCCAATCAACTCGCCAACAGTTCTTTTTGTCAAAACCAATTTGACAATCTGGACAGAGCTTTATAAGCTTTATCCACATTATCAAATTTTATGTGACAAAAATGTGATATGCCATATTTGGGTGTAATTATAGTTATCATCATGCACATATATGGGCATATCACATACAGTTTTCACATAAAATGTGATAGTGTAGAATGAGCATCAAGACACAGTACTAACTTAAAAAATAAACCTACCATGGTTTGAGCTTTCCAAATCTTGTATCTGTCTTAGTAACTAACAAGCCAATGATGGGGTCAGTGAAGGCGTCCCATAACCTCCCGGACAAAATAATAACACTTGCGTACTGTGGTGGGACCTGGTGGAAAAGTTTGGTCAAAATGCAGTTTTACAGTTTTAAAAAAATTATGATGCCACAATGTTCAAAGATTCATTTCAAAGATTCAATTATTTAAAGCTACTTGAGCCATAGAGGGCAATTATCCGCAATCACAAATTAACAATCACATATAGCAATCAAAGTAACAACTACAAATGAAACACCATCTTCATAAGGAAGTTAAACTTAGTAAACTTAAAATTAAGAGCTGCATTGTTGTCTGAAGAGGGCGTATAATATACGACAGTATTTCTAGCCGTATTTCCAGATTTATCTGGCCGAACGCCCTCTTGAGGCATAGCATCGTGTAATACAATGTTCCCGACGGGTATTTGGACCTGTTCAACCATGAAGCCTTCGTGGTCTAGTGGTTTTATACACATCTAGATGTGTATAAGAGACAGTATATACATACTGATTTGTTTGTCTACTTACGCCCGCCGTCTCTAGAAGAAACACGGATATGTAAAAACCTATTACAGTATTGGTGAGCTGGTAGGGCATTCCGCCGACGCCAAAACAAAGTTTGTTATACACCGTCAACTTCTTTTGTTTTCTTCTTGTTAGTGGTGTTCTCTGTAATTGGTCATTGATATATTATTAGTAGTAGTGGTAGTGGGAGTGGTAGTGGTAGTAGTTGTAATAGCAGTAGCAGCTGTAGCTGTAGCATAGCAGTCTAGTAGTAGCAGTATCATTATGATTATCATATTATTACCATTATGCCTATTAACATTTTTGTCATTAATATTGCTGTAAATACAGCTACCATGGTTGAAGATGCCATTCACCTTATCAATCAAAATAGATGAAAACGACATGTACAGATAAACAATACCAAACATAAGCGACGTGAAATACCGTTGCTTTATGCAATTTGTGACCATTTTTTGGAACGAATATTTTAATGAAAAAGCCAAAACAGGCCTGTGTTTTCTAAAGCACTAGAATGTTCGTTTGACTTCATTCTAACCGTTTTAGGATAACATTCTAACTTAAAGCAATATGTTTGCCGTGTTTATTAAAACCATCCAACACGTTATTGCATCGTTGTGGTGTCGCTTTGGACATAGTCCATCTAATGCGTGTAGAATATTACATCTAATTTTCTATACTAATTATTGATAATGTAAAGATAGCTAAAAGCTTATTTTTTTAATTTATTTGTTCTTTATACTGGGTTTCCTCTTTAGTAACAAATTACTGTTCTCCCAGAAGGCCCAGTACACATAAAACAGTCCGCGACAGGGGCCGAGTGAACCAATAGGCCTACACCGGGGTAACCCCCTACTCGTCTCGAAAGATGTACTGGATTCTTTGAGGTGCACATGAGCATTTGTGTACACTGGGCCTACGGTTTATAGTCCTTATCCGAGAAGACTTGTTCCACCACCAGAACTACAGTATAGGATCGAGCCGGCCGCGAACCTGTGCCGATATTGTTGACTGTAATCACGGTGCCCCTGCCTTAACCGCTCGGCCATTTGGAATAAATTATAGTAAAGTAATGTAAGTTAAAGAAAGAAAGGTCAAAAAGAAAGTAATGAAGAGAAAAAGAGTAAAAACGATAATAAATGAAACTGAAAAAAGAAAGGAGAAACAAGAAAAGAAATGGAAGAAAAATAGAAAGAAAAGAAAGGAAAAATAAGAAAGGCAAGGAAATAAAACGAAAGAAAAATATAGTTAGGTAAATTGTTTAGAGAAAATAATCACAATAATCCAAAATTTTTTAAATAATTATATATAATCATCTATTGACCAGGTAAATTAAAATGAGGAAAACAGGTAAGGAAGGAAATAAATGAACAAAGGTTAGGAAATCAGAACTACTACAATATATAGACGAAAGTACATTATATTCACAATAAACCAAATTATTGATAATGCTATATATATAAACCTTATGCTGTTAAATATTTCAAATTATAACTTTTAGCTAGATGTTTATTAAATTCTGATTTTTTTTTCATTATTTTACGTTCCGAAGAACGGTCACAAATTGCACCAACCAACGATATTTCACGTCGCTTGTGCAGGGTATTGGGATAAGTTTTCAACTAGCAATAATCACGCCTCGGATAAACCTCATTGGCTATGATATCGCCTCTGCGCAAAGATAACCCGCAATTACTACAACTTTGGTGTTATTCTACACAAGTACTCATCATATACTGGTGGCGCATTTCTTAATGTAATTCTATTTTAAATAAAACTTGCATTGATATTGTACATTATTGGAGTCATAAAGTACCGTAGCTGATTTTTGCATTAGTGTCTATTCTTATTAAACTCCATAGACCTAATTCAATACACGCATATATAGGCCTACGTTGCTATAAATTTTATTCCACTAATTAAGGGTCTAATGAATATTCATGATTTAATAAATCGCGCCGTGTCTGAAATTTTATTTTATTTTATACTTTTATTTTCTATTTATTTATTTTTTTAATTCGTCCGGTCAATAATGTTGTTATTATTAAATTATTATTGCAATTATTATTTTTTATTTTAATAATAATAATAATAATAGTAATAATAATAATAATAATAATATTAATAATAACAATAAAAAACAATAAAAATAACAATTACAATAAAAATTATAATAATATAATAATCCTCAAAATAGAGTATAAAATGAACTAAAACCAGCACAGTAGAGGCAATTTTTGGTTGATTTATACCGGTACTCTATTTTACAGTCTATAATTACAAGTTATTATTACGCCAGTATAACAAGACTGCAACAAAAAGTGCAGGAAAAGTATAATGCAATTTTTGAAATAAAGTTTGAATAATTATAATCAAAATATAACATTTATCATAGTAATAATCATAATTATTATTTATTATGATCATTGGCATCATCACCATCATCATTTCATTTTTTTTAAATGATTAATCAGGCGCAGATCTAATCAAGTGAGGGGAGGGCGAGGACGTTCCGTTGTTTTAACACTGATTTTTTTTTTTATTTCAGTGCCCATCAATATTAAAGTAACAAAAAAAAAAGAATGCAAATGCCTCCCTTCCACCACCATTTGAAAAATTCTTGATCGCCCCTGTATTGCTCAAAGACAAGGCCTAGTTGTAATAACTATCACCATGGAAATCAAAGCATCGGAGGAAACATCCCTGAAGTTCCGTGTATACCGACATATGTTTAACATTAATTAGTTTCATTGTGGTACTGAGCTATTAAATGCTACCTACGAAGGGCCATTAAAAAAAAATTATTGTTATAATCATTATCATGAACAACACCATTATGTTTTATGCGCGAATGAAGTCACAGTACAAAAAAAAAAAAAAAAAAAAATTTCAAACTCGCATCTTTTTATTCATGAATATGTATTAGTACCTAATTAAGTACCTAATTATGCGTGTTTTGAATTAGGCCTATAAGAATTTTAATATTGAATGTACACAAATGTAAAAAGTACTTTATAACGCCTGTAATGTAAGGTTTTACTTTAAAGTAAATTACACTACACTAATGCAAAAATCAGTTATTGTATAACTCCAATAATGCACAATATTAATGCAAGTTTCACTTAAAATAGAATTACATTAAGAAATGACACCAGTATTTGGTGAGTACTTGTGTAGAATTAACACCAAAGTTGTAGTAATTGTTGGTTATCTTTGCGCAGAGGCGATATCATAGCCAATGAGGTTTATCCGAGGCGTGATTATTGCTAGTTGAAAACTTATCCCAATACCCCGCACTATCGACGTGAAATACCGTTGGTTGATGCAATTTGTGAACGTTCTTCGGAACGCAAAATAATATAAAATCAGGATTTAATTAGGTATTAATTCAATCTTTCTTTGTGACGAGGTTTTTAATCATGGTCGCTTTAAGTACAGGTGTGATGCATGGGTAAAGGTTATCTCAACTTTTTGAAGATCTTTTTTGGATGAAAAAATAATATCAATTATAACCATGTAAGCTTATTTTAAAATTAAAACAGTATAAATCAAATCATGGACCTATTAATAGGTCCATGATCAAATCAAAAGATAGTCCTTGAATATAACAACAGGCTTGAAAGTAAGACTTGGAAATGTATAACAACCATTCTTGCATGTTGCTTGAAAAAATATACTATTCGACATCACACTATAAATTGGATGACAGAATCGAAAGTAATTAGAGTTTTAGGTCAGTAGGTCTAAGTCATTGTAGTGATAGGAACCTATTATTTATAGCCCATTATCTTAATTCTATTCTAATCTATATGCACTGCTATTATTGATTTGTATCCGCCATTACTGAGATTGGACTTTGAATTTGGTAGGCAAAAGGGTAAGAGTCATGTTGGGTTCGTCCCGACCAAAAATAAACCACGACTGTTAACTAAATTTTTGAAATAAAGTTTGAATAATTATAATCAAAATATAACATTTATCATAGTAATATCATAATTATTATTTATTATGATCATTGGCATCATCATCATCATCATTTCATTTTTTTAAATGGTTAATCAGGCGCAGATCTAATCAAGTGAGGGGAGGGCGAGGACGTTCCGTTGTTTTAACACTGATTTTTTTTATTTCAGTGCCCATCAATATTAAAGTAACAAAAAAAAAGAATGCAAATGCCTCCCCTCCACCCCCATTTGAAAAATTCTTGATCGCCCCTGTATTGCTCAAAGACAAGGCCTCATTGTAATAACTATCACCATGGAAATCAAAGCATCGGAGGAAATATCCCTGAAGTTCCGTGTACACCGACATATGTTTAATATTAATTAGTTTCATTGTGGTACTGAGCTATTAAATGCTACCTACGAAAGGCCATTAAATTTTTTTTTTTATTGTTATAATCATTATCATGAACAACACCATTATGTTTTATGAGCGAATGAAGTCACAGTACAAAAAAAACAAAAAAACAAAAAACAAATTTCAACTCGCATCTTATTATTCATGAATATTCATTAGTACCTAATTAAGTAACTAATTATGCGTGTTTTGAATTAGGCCTATAAGAATTTTAATGTTGAATGTACACAAATGTAAAAAGTACTTTATAACGCCTGTAATGTAAAGCTTTACTTTAAAGTAAATTACACTACACTAATGCAAAAATCAGTTACTGTATAACTCCAATAATGTACAATATTAATGCAAGTTTCACTTAAAATAGAATTACATTAAGAAATGCGCCACCAGTATTTGGTGAGTACTTGTGTAGAATTAACACCAAAGTTGTAGCAATTGTTGGTTATCTTTGCGCAGAGGCGATATCATAGCCAATGAGGTTTATCCGAGGCGTGATTATTGCTAGTTGAAAACTTATCCCAATACCCCGCACTATCGACGTGAAATACCGTTGGTTGATGCAATTTGTGAACGTTCTTCGGAACGCAAAATAATATAAAATCAGGATTTAATTAGGTATTAATTCAATCTTTCTTTGTGACGAGGTTTTTAATCATGGTCGCTTTAAGTACAGGTGTGACGCATGGGTAAAGGTTATCTCAACTTTTTGAAGTTCTTTTTTGGATGAAAAAATAATATCTGATATAAACACCGCTACAATTATAACCATGTAGGCTTATTTTAAAATTAAAACAGTATAAATCAAATCATGGACCTATTAATAGGTCCATGATCAAATCAAAAGGTAGTCCTTGAATATAACAACAAGCTTGAAAGTAAGTCTTGAAAATGTACAACAACCGTTCTTGCATGTTGCTTGAAAAAAATATACTATTCGACATCACACTATAAATTGGATGACAGAATCGAAAGTAATTAGAGGTTTAGGTCAGTAGGTCTTAGTCATTGTAGTGATAGGAACCTATTATTTATAGCCCATTATCATAATTCTATTCTAATCTATATGCACTGCTATTATTGATTTGTATCCGCCATTACTGAGGTTGGACTTTGAATTTGGTAGGCAAAAGGGTAAGAGTCATGTCGGGTTCGTCCCAACCAAAAATAAACCACGACTGTTAACTATTATCAAAAGGTACACCTGTTGTTATTACCAGATGTACTTGTGTATGGTGTATGGTACGTCCGTTGACCGACGATTCCATCTTCGCTCTCTGAAGCGCTTGACGATTAATACTAATGACCGTCAAATTGAGAAATAAGTTTATATTATAAATTTTGAGTTAATCTTCTAAATATAATAATTATTATTAATCCTGATTTTTAATTTTATTATTTAGTTATTTTTAGAGTTTATAAAATATTATTATTATTAATAATAATATAATATATATTATTATTATTATTATTTTTATTATTCCTATTACTATTATTATTATTATTATTAATATTACTATTAATATTAGTATTATTATTATTATTATTATTATTATTATTATTATTATTATTATTATTATTATTATTATTATTATTTGCTGTTTGTTGTCTTCTTTCTTACACCACAAATTTTATGGTGTTTTGTTGCCATAAACATCCTCAATTTGCGGTCAGTAGAAAGAAAACTGAATTTTAATGGACACCATACTATATCTTTAAGCAGTAGGATCAAGAAAAAATTATCAAAATTTTCCAGCTATATCTAAACATTAGTGTAGACATTAGTGTACGTGTGCAGAGAAGAATGGATCCATGATGAATAGATAGTGATGAATTCAAGCCCCCGAAAATAACAGAAAGTTACAGTGTAGGCTAATTCCAATATGAACCTCCAAAATATCGACAGTGAGAGATCCAATGGGTGGAGAACTTGTCACACTAAAATAATTTGCAATTTTGCCTTTTTTTTATTTTTACTTTTTTTTTTTTTTTTTTTTTTTTTTTGCATGAACGTTTCCAAATTTAATAGTAAAATAATTACAACTAATACAGTCTATCCCCTTCCCGTTTTCAGTATATTGTGGATCCATACTGTAATTTTACGTTAGCTATTAATCCGTACTTTTAAATAACCATTGGTTTTGATAATAGTCACTATGCTCATAACTGAAGGAAATTAGTTGGCTACACACGTTTCCAAAATTGTTTGATGGTCTTAACATTGTAAACAAAATGTATCATATTCATCCTTACCTCATCATCTGGATTTCGTATTTGTTTGATTTTCGCCGACTCCATGATTTATTTCTCTTGTACTTTCGCTATTTCTCGTTCAATTCCATGGGCTCATGAGGCTTCAATAGTGCTTCTAGTCTAATTCTAATCTAAGTATAGTTCATTGTTTACTTATTATTTACTTTTTAGGTCTTCTGGCTGATACTTCGTTGACCTTACGCTGCGGTTGACGAGGGCGATGTTATCGTACGTTAGCTCGATTAAGTGTTTCGTCGCCAATCGTAACTGTGATCTATTTCTCATCTCACATAAATATTGAAAAACTATTTTGTTAATATTTCGTATGCATTACTGATCACTATTTATTTTTGTATATCAATGTGTCCTTGTCTGTGTTATGATAAATAAATACCGTAATTAATCTATATTGAATGGCTTCACAAACTCTGCCCATAACATCTTTCGAAACAATCTCTTGAAACCTGCGATTATTTTCTCCTTTTTCCATTTCATATACCAAAGATTAATAAGTTGGGCTGACCTCTCTCTTTTGAGAGGATCAACTCATTTTTGGAAGTGCAATTATACACAAATTTCAAAAAAAAAAAAAAAAAAAAAAAAGTTATAAAATTAGAAGTTTGAAGAACTTAAAGTCATTAAAAGACACTTCAGAAGCCGGGAAAGCTCATATTCCGCAATCTAGAAATGTTCAAAGTTCCTGGTACCAACATCACCATCCATCCTCCACTACTTTAACATGCCTCCAATGGGAAGTCGTCTATATTATCTATTGTGCCATATGTAACGAAGTGAGACGGGGAGACTTAAAGGGACTGAATAAAGACCTGGCTTTGTCAGTGATTACTCCTTTGTACACAATAGGCCTAAATCTTAAATAGGCTTACAGCACAAATAGGCCTATCTACATTTTTATGTCACTCGAGACATATTTCTGGTTTATTTTACCAAGCGCTCTTTTATATTATACCATATCAAGGTCTTTATCAAGGTACAAATGAATATGTATTATACAGTATATATAAATAAATACTTTTTATAGTAATTAATATAGTTTTCATAATAATGTTCTACCCGTTTATAAGAAATTAAAATACACGATAGGTCTAATAATCTTACGCAATAACATTTTAATCTAATGCTGTAATTTAATGTAATGTAAAAACAAATTGGTTTACGTTTCTATGTATAAATTTCATTATACATATATTATATAAATTACTATAGGGAGGCCTACAGTATTTTCTTTTTTTAAGTGAATATAACTGAATGAAAACAGAGCCGTATGAAAGGCATATGCCACCCCCTCTATAGTAAGAAACGATGGGAGGCAATATCGAATTTGTTTTCTCGTGTTTCGTTATTTCCAACAGAGAGGGCGTCATCATTGGCTATTCCAAAACACATACTGAAGTGTGTATTGTATTGTAATTTGTTGTTGAGAGGTCGGACTATTTGTTATTTTATACGTCAATAGATACCCTTTGAGCTGTGAAATCGGATAATTCATCGGTAGGTCCACGTATATTTTATACTTTAGACTATTTATTCAATTCCAGCGTAAGCTAAGTCGGTATACTTCAGTTCATGCTTACCGATGGATGCCATAACAAAGCAGTGGTAAACAGGTTGACGATGAGGACTGTGTGGTGGTGATGATGGTAGTGATGAGGATATCAACTGATGTAGACTGTCCTACGACTACGTACCTATCCTATTTATACACTATATAGTGAAGATGTAGCCTACAACCCCATCCGCGCTTTGTTTAGTAACAAGACGGTAAGATTATGCTAGGCCTATATTATGTTACTATAACAAAATGTTGGTTATCCTTCATTCCCCGGATGTGTCGGTCTTTTCGTACTTTGAGTCAAAAATAAGCATCTTCTAAATTCCACCTGCTCTTCTCTCTGGCTGGGTAGCCTACAATACTGTGCCTAAGGCTAGGGTGAGGGGTTTCTAATGGTGTAGGAGGAAATGAGTGTTGTTATTTAGAATCTGGTAACAATTTTACTATCCTTTTAAGTTAGCATGCATTGTAATGTTAATTAGTCAATATAAATTAATTGTGTAAAATATAAATACAGTGTTTTTATAACCCTGTTCCATTGTGGTATCAAAAGAAAGGTTCCTGTTTTGACACACAAGTCGTGTTCAGATTGTGTCACAATAATTTTTTTCTATGCCTATGTTAGTTTAATCAAATTACAAGGAAGAAATGTTTATGTGTTAGTGACGATCCAGTGATGTAAATTGGAGGGTCTTTTCAATTTTTGAGGACCCAGACCTAAATATCTCTTTCAAAAAGCTGGGGGGTGGGGGTGGGGGTTGTAAGTCAGAATTTATGGCATAAAATATAAATATTCAAACCTTTCCATTCTGTAAATGGCTGTAATAAAACAATTAACATTTATGTAAATTTAATCTGATTGCGTGCTGTCTGTTAGAATGTATATATCAGAAACAGCAAAAATCTTTTTAAAGTTATTGCTTTGAACCTTGTACTGTATGCAAGATAATTTACTTTAGATAACTCTTGTTTGTCATTGAAATTCTTTTTACTCATAGTAATTATTTCATATCAACTTTTGATCTGTAACTTCCGGAGCTGTAGCTTGGTGGGTAAAAATGGTTGCCTTCCAGTCCCAGGCTTCCACCCTCATGAATTTTCACAAGAACTCTTACATATTGAGCGTAAGATTCATGCCTTTAAAACCTCTATCAAGCTTTCCCATTCAAGGAACAAAACTTTGTGGTTATGTTATATTAGCAAAAAATTGTTTAGACCTACTGTGGCTCTTTCACTGAATTTCTCTGTCTAGATCTAGAGGCATTCGTATAATTTTATGTCTTCAGTCTCAGAATAATGTTGATACTTTGCTAAGCACTATTAGATAATACTGTCAAATCAGTGATCACTCTGACGCTGCCATGTGTGCTGCTCATCACAGGCCCGTAGCCAGCATTCTTCAAGGGGGGGTTCTGGGCGTAGGGTCCAGGGCCCGCCAAAGGGCCCCAGGTGGGGTCAAGGGATGCTAAGCCCATTTGGGGGCCGGGGGAAAGCCCCGAAGCCAGAGCATTTATACGATTTTAAAAGCATGTACATGTCATTTAAATGTATGTTCATGTATATTTAAATACTTCTTACACAATTTTAAAAATAAGATAAGAAGACTACTTTTTCCAATACAGGATTTAGAACGTAAATGTTTATTGTGAAACAAACTTTTTTTTTTTTATTAAAAAGCAATGCTTAACATTTTAATGCTACTATGTAATGTTATCTCTAAAAATATAACTGGGATAAAATTAGCAATACCCAATAGGTGACTGTACAAAACACAGACCTTGCACATTATGAGATCGCTAAATACCAATATTAAAATATGGAGGTATGTAAAAGGTCTTTGCTTAAAAGAGAAATATTGCAAATAATATTTTATTTATATAAGAGTATTGCAGAAATGAAGAAACAATACTAAATAGGAACTGACAGCCCTACATTTTACTTTTTTACCAAAATAACTTAAATGTTAAGTTCCAATGGAAATATATATAGTTAGGGCAAGGAAAAATGTTATTATATTTACAAGTTACAGAACCATTTATGTAAATATACTTGCACGGTAATATTGAAAAAAAACCAGACATAATTATAATGCTACAAATGTACATGTTTAAGAACCAGTGTAA